CGCTATCTGGAGATAAAACTGCTGGTGTCTTTTGTATACGGTAATGGCGCATTAGTTTCAAAACAGGATTGTAGTCAAACAATTGCTATAAATGATAAGGCTTTTCATCCTGGGCTCAAGGAGGAAGGGTAATTCTGGAAGAGGGTAGTGGCAATTATGTAAACTGTTGAGTCATAAAAAAAAAATCAACAAGTAACGACAATTAGGCACCGCATTAAAATATCTCAGTGGTTGTTGTGATTTGTGGTGGTTTAAACTGGTTTCTTATTCTGTTAGGACTAGTGGTTTCTAGCGCATGCTAATTGTAGTGTCCACCGCCGTCTCCGGATTCCGATGTATTCTCACAAACTCGCGGTGCAGAACACTAAGGCACTGCCGTGCTGTGCGGCCGGGCGGAGCCTCTCGACTGCTGGCTCTGACTGGAGCCGAGCAGGGTGCGGCCGCCTCACACTCGTATTACCGGGGGCCCGATGCCGAGCCTCGGACACCCGATGCACTAGGTACTCGATACACTACACATTCCCCCCTCTCGCAAAAAAAGGAACAGCATCACTGCGACACGTAGTAGTCCGGTCGTCTACAGACACGGTCGCTTCGCCTGGGACGCTGCACGCTCACATCGGCGGCGTCCGGCGACGGCTCGCAAGCTGTCTCGGTCGACGGGCGAGAAGCAGCGGCGAGCGAGGTCAGCGGGCCAGCGGCGTCGGCCTCCGAAGTCGTGGCGGTCGACGTGGTCTCGCCGGGCCCGGCGGGGGGAGATGCGGAGGGAGACGCCGGCGCGTATGGGAGACGGGCCAGATGGGCGGCGTTCCAGGTCCGGCCGTCAGCCAGACGGTACGTTGCGGGACCGACGCGCCCAGTGACTCGCACCGGAGACGTGAACCGACAGGACGTCTTCGAGCGGTGTCCCTGCCGTCTCACGCAGACGTAGTCGCCCTCAGTGATGCGCGGCGTCGTCACGCCACGGCGGCGGTCGTAGGACCTCTTGTTGGACTGCTGTCGGCGTCGAACTCGAGACGCCACACTGTCGGCTCCTGGTGTTGACGGCTGAATGACAGGCAGGTTCAGCCTCATCTGTCGTCCATGCAGGAGCTCTGACGGTGACTTCCCAGTTGTCGTGTGTGGGGTGGCTCGATACACCGCCAGGCTCTTGCGTACCTCGTCAATGAACGCTGCTGGTGGACAGTCTGTGATCCACGACTTGAACGTTTTGTTGAAGCGCTCTACGGCGGAGTTGCCTCTAGGCCAGTAGACGGACGATTTGGTGTGCTTCACCCCTCGGGCGGCCAGATACGCAGTGAACTCCCTGCTCGTGAACTGGGGCCCATTGTCCGTCACGATCTCGTCGGGATAGCCCTCTTTGGCCCACACAGTTGACAAGAACTTGATGACGTCTTCAGTCTCAGTCGATGACGTCAGGCAGACTTCCGCCCATTTGCTTCTGTAGTCAATCAGAGTGATGGCGTAACGGGCAGTTGCTGGTGCTCCGTTGATTGGACCAACGATATCCATTCCCAGTTTCGACCAGGCGCGGTCCGGCAGGTCGACTGGCTGCATGGGCGCAGGGCGCGCGCGCTGGGAGAGGACTGCGTCGCTGTGCTGGCAGCGCTCGCAACTTCGGCACAGCTCCTCCACCTCACGGTTGATGCCGGGCCACCACGCCAGATTCCGCAGCGCCTGTTTCATGCGGACGATTCCGTCGTGCGCGCTGTGCGCCAGCTCCAGGTATCTGCGGCGGAGCTGAACGGGCACAACAACTTGTTGGGCTCCTCTCAGGATGACGTCGTCGTTGCGCACCCACAACTCGTGTCTCATCTTGAAGTACGGCTGGACTTCAACCGGGCAGGCCTTGGCGCTGCTCGGCCAGCCGCGCTTGATCTGATGACGCAGCTGCTGCAGCTCAGGATCAGCAGCTGACGCGGTGCGGACGTCTTGCTCGGTCAGCACGCTCTCTTCATCTGTCAGAAGAGCGATCACCTCTTCTTCAGCGGAGCTGTCTTCATGCAGGTCCGCTTCTTCGGCAGGAACTGGCATCCTGGAGAGGGCGTCTGCTGCAGGAGTTAGGTTCCGGCCAGGCACGTACTGGACTGTGTACGCATACGGCAGCAGGCGTGCCTGCCAGCGCGCGATCCTCGCGCCCGCTCTCCCCGAGAAGCTGGGCGAGAGCAGTGTCTGCAGCGCCGAATGATCTGTGCGGAGAGTGAACGGACGTCCCCACAGATACAGTTTCCAGTGTTCCACGGCGAGAACAGCGCTCAGTGCTTCCAGCTCAGACACTGAGTAGCGCTGCTCGGTAGGGGTGAACGCCCGAGACCAGAACGCTACGGCGTTTTCTTCTCCATCGGAGCTCAGCTGCGTGAGTACAGCTCCAGCGCCCTTGCCGCTGCCGTCGGACGTGACGAATGTAGGCAGGCCCTGGTCGAACGGCTTCAGTGTCGGGCTTGCAGCTATCTTCAGCTTGACCTCGTTGAAAGCTCGGTTCGCTGTGTCGTCCCAGACGAACTTGGTGCCCTTCTTCAGCAGCCGGTACAGTGGATGGACGGTCTCGGCGTACCCAGGGACGAACCTGAGAAACCATCCACACATCCCCAGGAACGACTTCAGCTCCTTGGCGTTCTCCGGCGGTGGTGCGTCAGTCACGGCCTTGATCTGTGACTGCAGTGGTGTGACTCCCGACGCAGACAGCGTGAAGCCACAGAAGTCGACAGCTGCTTTGCTGAACACAGACTTCTCTCTGTTGACTGTCAAGTTGGCCTCCTTCAGTCGGGCCATGACGCGCCGAAGACGGTCGTCGTGTTCTTCCTGTGACACTCCCACGACCGCGACGTCGTCCATGTAGTGAACACATCCCGGGATGCCGTCCAGCAGGTTGTCCAGCAATCTCTGGAACGCAGATCCTGCCGAGACCAGACCAAACGGAACCCTCGTGAACCGTCGTAGGCCTCGGTGAGTCAGGAACGTGGTGAGCTGACGGGAAGCAGGCTCCAGCTCCAGCTGATGGTATGCGCTCTGCAGGTCGATAACTGTGAAGATGTTGCCCTTCAGCTGGTCTTGGAGCTCCTCTGCCGTCGGCAGGGGATGAACTTCGGCGATGACCTGTCGATTCAGGTCCCTGAGATCCACGCAGATGCGCAGCTTCCCGTTCCTTTTCCTGCTGACGACCATCGGGTGAACCCAGTCGCTGACTTCGACCGGTTCGATGACTCCTTCCTCCTGGAGTCGGTCCAGCTCGCGGCTGACCTCTTCACGAACAGCATACGGGAGTCGGCGGAGCTTGTGACGCACCGGTACAGCATCAGGACGGAGAACAATCCTGTGCTGGTAGCCACGGACTGTCGTCAGTGAGCGTATCTCGCCAGGGTCGGGCTGAGACGGTGGCGGTTCCGGGACTTCTGCGCTCCCAGTGACCGCCAGCTGATCGATTGCCCCACTCGCGGGGTGCAGATTTACGTCCAACTGCTTCAGCAGGTCCAGTCCCATGACGGCTTCTTCACCGTCGGAATCTATGATGAAGAACTCTGTGTTGGCTCGCCGTCCACGGTAGGTCACCAGCGCTGGCAGCATGCCAAGCACTTGAAGCTGGTGTCGACCAAAACCGAACAGACGAGCAGACGTTCTATTGAGACGACTGCCTTTGAAGAGACGTCTGGCGATGCCGAGTCCTAAAGCGGACACCGTGGCACCCGTGTCAACTTGCAGATTCACGGTCTGCGTGATACCTGGTACCTCCATCTGTACTTCGCACATCATCTTATCGGTATTTGGTACGGCGCAGCAGAGAACAGTCAGCTCGTGACACCTTCTGTCGTCGTTCCGTTCACCAGACCAGCAGACCACGGCAAAGTGACCCGTCCGCCCACACTGCCTGCACGTGGCCCCGGTAGCGGGACACCGACCGCGCTCATTGTGCTGGCGCCGACCGCAGCTGGGGCACGTGTCCGGTTGCAGCTGGGCAGGTCCGGGGCGACGGTCGGCTTGCAACTGGGCAGGGGCGGGGCGGCGGTCGTCTTGCCGCCGGGCGGGTCGCCAGGGCCGGCGCCCGCGGCGCTGACGAGCGTCAGATATCTGATGCAGTGACTGCGCTCCGTCGGCGGCGGGCCGCGCCGGCCCGGCCATGGCGGTCGCCTCGCGTCGGGATCGCTCGAATGCCTCGGCGATCTCCAGAACGCCGTCCAGGGTCAGGCCCTTATCCTGCAGAAAACGCTCGCGGAGAATCGGATGCACTGTTGCTTCCACGACTTGGTCACGTATCATTGCGTCTGTCATTTGTCCAAACGAGCAGTTAACTGCCAGGCGGCGCAGCGCCGCCACGTAGTCGGCCGTCGGCTCGTGCGACTTTTGCCGTCGCTGCCGGAAGAAGAACCGCTCCGCGATCACGTTGACCTGAGGTTCATAAAACTCGGCGAGCTGCCGCTCAGCCGCATGGAACTCGTCTTCGTCTTCTCTCCTCGGCTGGACCGGTAGGGTACGGTACACCCGTTGCGCCTCGGCGCCGACACAGTGCAGAAGGAGAGCCGTCTTCCTCTCCGTGCTGTAGGCCTCACCTCCCAGGGCAGTCAGGTAGTTGTGGAAACTGAAAATCCAGTCACTCCAGGGCAGTGCTGGTTTTCCTGGTCTCGCCAGGAACGGAGTTGGCGGCGACACCCCCTCGACGTTCATCGTCGGTAGTATTCAGGATCTCATCCTTGTCGCCAGATGTAGTGTCCACCGCCGTCTCCGGATTCCGATGTATTCTCACAAACTCGCGGTGCAGAACACTAAGGCACTGCCGTGCTGTGCGGCCGGGCGGAGCCTCTCGACTGCTGGCTCTGACTGGAGCCGAGCAGGGTGCGGCCGCCTCACACTCGTATTACCGGGGGCCCGATGCCGAGCCTCGGACACCCGATGCACTAGGTACTCGATACACTACACTAATGATATCAAAAAGTGACTTGGCAACAGAAAATTCATAATGATTAATGAGCATGACATGTCATAATGATATGATCCTTGTTTTTACAGCTCTTGTCTTTCATCTTCGAGTCATGACGGAAGGACCGTTACGTGAGCTTCAGGAAGAAGAAGTAGAGATGTTGCTCCACTTAGAGGAGGAGCATGCCCAAGCAGTGGCAGCATTACTCAATGGTGAAGATGAAGAAATGCCTGAAGAAATACTTCATCACATCCAGGATATAAGGTTGGTATATAAATTTAATATCGTTTCAATTTCTATCACAAGTCATAGCGTATTGCGCAATCTTATTAGTTTCTGTTGAACAGAGGCGGATCCAGCTCAGAGTTTTGAGGGGGGCCAAACCATAACAATTTATCGATTCTTTCCATGTCTCGTCCATAGGCGTAATGTTAAAATTATGCCGTTGGGGGGGGGGGGGGGTAAATGCCCATTTTGCTCCCCTTGAGCCGCCACTGCTGTTGAAGTTATTCAAGTTCATTAGACCTTTTCTCCTAGCACAATTTAAAGGTTATATGTGACAGTATATATGGCCATGTCTACTCATGGTATTAGTCTTACTTATACTTGAATATGCCTTGTTTCAGAGATGATCAAGCTGAGAGAGTGAGAGCGAGAGGCTATGTGGTAGCCACTGTACCAGCCTACCTTGATGATGACTTCCGTGGGCATTTCCGGTGAGTTTGAGTTTGTTGGTTTGCAGCATTTCATGCTAGGCTAGTTTTGCACTTACCTACATCCCTTGTATTCAAAGGGGATAACAGCCAGTAAGATAAAGTGTGTGTGCCTCATCATCGTTTCTTACCCAACTGCTTCCTTTTCTAGGATGACTCGACACCAGGTGCAGCAACTGCAGGAGGACTTGGGCGCGGCAGGGGCGTACGCCGAAGACCATGGCGGAAGGGAGCCCATTTCTCCAGGCAAAGCACCATTGGTCCTTCTGTGGACTTTAGCCAATCAGGACACTATTCGGAGCATTAGTGACAGGTTCGATCTTACCAAGTCGAGTGTAATACGCTCGAACCGACGCTTGACGAATGCGATCGTAAACGACCTGCTCGGAGAACACGTGAAGTGGCCAAACAACACTGCAGCTGGTGCGATCGACTGTGCTGGGGGCATCGAGATTGTGGGGGCCTATTTAGGGCCTTGGTGGGGGCCATCGATGGCTCTCACATCCCGATCTCCCAGCCAGTCGAGGACCAGGAGGTCCATGTAAATAGAAAGGGCTTCCACTCTTTGGTTCTCCAAGCGGTCTGCCAGGCTGACACGCGCTTCATTGACGTGTTAATGGGATACCCGGGCTCGGTTCACGATGCCCGGGTATTCCGTAACTCTCCCTTGTGCCAGGCGCTTCCCAGACTGTGTCCCGATGGTGAAAGTGTCATTCTAGGAGATAGCGCGTACCCCTTAAAGGTAGTGTGCCACCTTTGAAAGATTTCCCATTTTATTTTTCCTAGGATAAGAAGCTTCTGTTTTTACCTAATATCGCAAAAAAATGGGCCTGGAATAGTGCCTTTTTCGCCTAAAAGTTTATCGGTTTTTCGATATGTATAACAACTGTAGTGGGCTGGCCTGCAAACAGGCGTCGACAACAATCGCGAATGCAGCGCACATGTGACAATAAGCAAAGGTCATTATAGAGTTACGACGTACGGGAATGAGTTATCAGCTGTCTAATCGTAGACAACACAATGTCGAGCCTTAAACTGTAAGCCTGTATTGGTATTGTTTCTTTTATTTGGCTGTCGAACATTATTTATGGTTTGAAATATGATTTTATGTAAAATAATTGATATGAAAAAGCCGTCTCTTAAGTTATGACCCCATTTCATCACACGCAAGTGGCAGAAATGACAATGATCAGCTGACGCATTTTTCTTGGCCGAAGTCAGAGCGCGCGGCCCGACGCACCACCACCGCACCACAAAGTATGAGCAGAAGCCGCGCCCAAAGCTGCAGGGCCCCGGTAACGTGAGGTAGGCGAGTCGGGGCAGAGTGCGCTGACCCAAGTCGGGGCCGCAGCTTTGGGCGCGGTCTACCGCATCCCCGCGGGCAGCCCCGGGCTATCACATGACACCGGGAGGACGCGCGGCCCCGGCTTGGGTCAGCGCACGCTGCCCCGACTCGGCTACCTCACGTTACCGGGGCCCTGGCTTTGGGCGCGGTCTACCGCACCACCGTCTCTTGCATTAGATCATACAGGCGTGTTCGAAACCGCAGGAGATGATGATGAACGGGTTTATCGAAACTTGATTGGATGAGCATATCGGTAATAGCGATTTCAGTGTGTGCATTTATTGTTCATAGTGGTGTGAAATGTGGTTGGGGTACGACCGACAACCCGTCGGGGCGAATTTCGCACTGGGGTCTTCAAAATTTGAAGAATTTAAGACGTTTCCATGAGTTTTGAAGGTATGGATAAGTTCTAAAAATCCGGTTCTCCTTATCTGGGCCATTATCTCCATACGGTCCAGGAAAGCTGGCACACTACCTTTAACAGGGCAACTGATCACCCCTTTCAAGGATAACGAAAGGCTAACAAGGCGTCAAAAGCGATTCAACACAGAAGTAAGTAAGAGGCGTATGGTGATCGAGCGAGCATTTGCCCTGTTAAAGGGTCGTTTCCGTAGGCTCAAGTTCTTGAAGATGTGGAGCATCGCTGACACGACCAAAACCATCATCACAGCCTGTGTGTTGCATAACATGTGTCTGGCAGGTGGCGACAGGGGCGATGACTTTGGCGAGCTTACCGATGGTGCAGAGGGGCTCGAGGTTGTTGTGCCGCGCCATCGAGATGACGCGGCAGAGGACAGGCGTGATGAGCGTGGCGCACCTGTAAGAGAACAGCTGATGACTGCCTTTCTGGGCCCGGAACTTAGGTAATATGTGTCCGTGCTAGAGGTGCCAGCTTCAGCAAATGCATATCCAATGTCTGTGGTCCGGTAACTTCGCCGAGTGGACGGTCAAAATGCCCAAGCTGGCAGCAATTAGTCCAAAGATGTCTGTCTTTTTGACATTTTGGACGGTTCGAAGTCTGCCATGCTCAGCATTACTCAGACATTTATTTTTACACCTTTGTTATGCCTGCTGGATGTGTGTAAATGAATGATCGTATGATTGAGGACCACTATCAATGGGTTTTACCTGTGTGTGGCCTTCCAAATAAATGAAATGAAGTGAACTGGTCGTCTGCAATGTTACGTCGCCCGTGTCCTTCTTCGTCTTAGTACGGTTTTAACTACACCAAGCGTGAGTAGAGAAACGAGGTGGCTCCATTAATGTGGTCGGTGCACCATAAATACACGTTGCTGATGCGCTGCTTTTCAGGCGCCACTGTTGAATGGCCTCATTAGTCTGTCCTTCCATTGCCCGCTGAGAGGCAGGGATTACTATGTAAGATGTATTATGCCAATACCTGAGAAAAAAACAGCAACTGATGCATTCACAAGTAGGAACAAAGTGGCATCGCGTAATACGGCAAATCACAAATGGCACAGCTATTCACGGCGAACCGCAAATGACACCAGCTCTTGGCTATCAATAAAAATGAACTATGATCTAATGCACTACAGCGTATTCACACAAACGAAGCTCTTGGTTGCATCACCATTCCCCAGCTAATGAATGGCCATTTGAACTTTCATGGGCAATCCGGCGACCCACGCCTCTAAGGACTCAGCTTGAACCAAGTTCATCTTCACTTTGACGCCTACCTTTTCCCCGTCCAAGAAGCTCACGCATGAGGGCCAGCCTTTCCTGGTGTATCTTATATGCTAGCTCCTGATTTTCTTTGTGCCTCTCCTGTCTTTTCTTTTCCATGCCATGAAGGAACTCTAGAACCTCTTCGTTGGATGTTGGGCAATTCCATGACAGATCACCTAGGCATGTTCACCATGACCTCTCCGATTTTGCTCAAATTTGGCATGCAAGTTGACCTATGGGCACTACTACGTCCCAGTGAATTTTTAGTCTCTAGGTCACAGGGGTCATGAGATATGGATCATGCAAATTTTAAGGTTTCCCGGAATATTGAAATATAAAGTATTTTTTTATCTCTGCAACGGTTCACCGTATCAAAAAAAGTTATATATGAAATAATAAGCACACAGGCTGGTGCGTCTAGCAAAAATGTGAACGAAACCTCAGGGTCAATTTTTGACCTTGTGACCTTGTGACCTTTTCTTGACCCCGTGACCTTTCAAATTTGTCCTATTTTAAAAATTCTGATTTTTTCTATCAGAGATGTCTTATCCATGCTCTTAATAGTGGTATGTGATTTGGTTGGTATATCGGACCTGTTGACCTCAAACTGAGGTCAACAATGTGGTCATGACCTGACATGAAAATGACATCTGCCGAGAACGTCATGAATCATAGGCAATATGGGTGTCATATGAAAGCTAACTTCACGGAGAATACATTGGTGGTGTTTTTGAGTAGGTATGGGCCGGGTCAAGGTCACATTAGGTCAGTGACCTAGCACAGCATTGTGTTTTTTGAAGGTGGCGTATTGTATTTGTTTATGGTAAGTCCAGTGATCAGCATACAATAAAAAGGAAACAAAACGTCATAAAACGTCTTTTTTTATTCAAAAAGCAGAGATAAAATGCACACATACCCATATAAACACACTCGCAAAAACACACACATTCATACACCTTGTTCGAGGAAGTTCTTTTCGAAGTTCGTTCAAACAGTGACACACGCGCTGTGAAGAACGAGTCTCAGAAGACTCGGACAGCTTGAAGGCTGCTATGGTATTGGAGTCGAGCAGTACAAAGCGGTGAAACGTCCTGGTACCCTTCACCATGCGGGCACTTGTGAAGCGTTCTTTCATTTTTGTCTTCGTTTCTGCTATTTGCGTTGCGGGAGCTGACGCGGTAGCTGAAGCGGCATTTCAGGCAGTGGTTATTCCCCACATTTGAAATGAATGCCCAAGACTAAAAAATACACTACTTCTCTGACGGAGCAGCGTCCCAGTACAAGAACAAATACAATTTTGCAAATATATGTCATCATGCCGAGGATTTCGGTGTTCAATGTGAGTGGATTTTTTACCACCTCGCATGGCAAAAGCGCATGCGATGGTATTGGTAATACTGTGAGGACCACCTTACCGATAAAATGCATTTCTTCATCGTTTCGGCAACGCAAATAGCAGGAACGAAGACGAAAATGAAAGAGAACGATTCACAAGTGCCCGCACGGTGAAGGGTAGGTGGTAGGTATGTACCAGGACGTTTCACCGCTTTGTACCGCTCGACTCCCACACCATAGCAGCCTTCAAGCTCTCCTAGTCTTCTGAGACTCGTTCTTCACACCGCGTGTGTTACTGAGGTTTGTTTGAAAGATCTTCCTCGAACAAGGTGTATGTATGTGTGTGTGTTTGTGCGAGTGTGTGTATGTGGGTGAATGCATTTTATCTGTGCTTTTTGAATAAAGACAGACGGTGTTTTATGACGTTTTGTTTCCTTTTTATTGTGTGCTGATCACTGGGCTTACCAAACAAATAAAATACGCCACCTTCAAAGAACACAATGCTGTGTTAGGTCACTGACCTAATGTGACCTTGACCCGGTCCATACCTACTCAAAAACACCACCAATGTATTCTCCGTGAAGTAAGCTTTCATATGACACCCATATTGCCTATGATTCTCGACGTTCTCGGCAGATGTCATTTTCATGTCAGGTCATGACCACATTGTTGACCTCAGTTTGAGGTCAACGGGTCCGATATACCAACCAAATCACATACCACTATTAAGAGCATGGATAAGACATCTCTGATAGAAAAAATCAGAATTTTTAAAATAGGACAAATTTGAAAGGTCACGGGGTCAAGAAAAGGTCACAAGGTCAAAGGGTAAAAAAAATGACCCTGGGGTTTCGTTCACATTTTTGCTAGACGCACCAGCCTTTGCGCTTCTTATTTCATATATAACTTTTTTTGATCCGGTGAACCGTTGCAGAGATAAAAAATACTTTATATTTCAATGTTCCGGAAAACCTAAAAATTTGCATGACCCATATCTCATGACCCCTGTGACCTAGAGACTAAAAATTTACTGGGACGAAGTAGTGCCCATAGGTCAACTTACATGCCAAATTTGAGCAAAATCGGAGAGGTCATGGTGAACAATTGGAAAAAAATTAGGTGATTTGTCGTGGAATTGCCCTGTTCTCTTAGCCTTCGTGCTTTTTCCCTCAGTTTCACTGGGTGTAGGCCTTTTGCTCCCCATCGAAGGAGATTTGAGAGTCTCAGATGTACTGTTGATCACCTGAGATGGGCAAGCTGACCCAGAAGCATCATTTGGGCTAGAAGCGCTATTGGACTGTCTGTCCGAGCTCGGTGTGTTGTCGGGTGTCAAACTTCCCAGGACGATCCTTGGAGAGACACTTGGGTTTTGCCAAGGATCTCTTCCAACTCCTTTTGGTAGAGGCAGATTTTGCGACCTCTACCTGACTGTCTATTGTTGTCCACTGTCCTCTTATAAGCATCACAGAGAGTTTCCCATCTGTTATTTACCTGTTTGACACTGAAACTCAAACCACCACCACTTTTGTTCGCTTCATCTGTTATTTTGTTCCACACAAGTTTCTTCTTGTACCTGGGGTCTGAGAACTTTTCTTTATGAACGCCATAGAGGTATATCAGCGACTTTGTCGCTTCATCAGACCAAATTTTTTTTTGACTGCATTGTCTAGACCAGTTTCCTCGTCATCTAGACTCTGGGAATCGTCTAGGACTAACATCTGTCCCCTAAAATAGTGGAAAATTTTCCAAATGCGATAACTCAGAGGCTATACCATATTTATTCATGAAACTTTCCACGAATATGTGGGCGACTGTGCTTCACTCACACACATGTCTAGATCAGGGCATCGGCGCACTCACGACCCACGAGACGGAGGTGCCCGGGCACGCGCTCCAGGAGGGTGCGCACAACCTCGATGTCCACTTCCTTGATTTTTCTTCGGATCCTGCCCGCCAGCTGCTGCTTCGAAAGGGCTGTCCAGTTGCCCTCGTAGACTTTCTGCTTCAGAAGTGCCCACACCGTCTCGATTGGGCGGATGGCGGGCATGTTTGGTGGGTTATCCTCCTTCTTGACGAATGGGATCCCGCTGGCCTCGAGAAATGCTGTCACATCCTTGTGATAATGACACGATGCCAGGTCCGGCCAGAACAAGATGTTCCTGTCAGGATGTTTTTCGTCTAAGAAGGGCACTAATCTGCCCCTCAGACAGTTTTCCAGGTACGTCTGACCGTCCATGCACCCCTTCTCCATGATGAAGGGGGTGCTCAGGCCCCTTGGACTGATGGCGAGCCAAACCATTATCCTGGGCGGAAACTTTTGTTTCCTGGCATACTGAACGTCGGGAGGGCAGTTGCTCTTGTCTGAGGAATAAAACCCCCTGTTCCTGGCATATTCGGATCCCGAAAATCCGAAGTACGACTCGTCGTCCATGACGATCTCTGCGCGTGCGCTCAAGGCGAGTGGTCCGCGGTACAGCCTCATGCAGCGCGACTTGATCTTGGTTTTCTGGGCCTCTGTTTGCAGACTGGCTCTCTTGCGCCTGTAGTAGGTCAAACCACATTTGTTTGCGACCACTCTGTGCAGATACGACTTAGAAATCTTGTATTTTCTGGCCAAAACCCTGACCGAAGAGCCAACTTTGTGTTCCAGATCCCTTTTTACGTTACTGATCTTCGATTGTGTCATTTTCATTGCCTTCCGCCCACTCCCCGGCTGTCTTTCCAGTGTTCCACCATCATCGACCCTTTTCAAAACATTATAGACTGCTGATTTTGGAATACCTTCTTCAAGAAAATGCTTAACCGTATACTTTTTCCCCAATTCCCGATGGTTTTGATAAAATTGTGCGACTCTTCTCAGATCACGCATGCGATTCGGCCGAGACATAGCTGCTGAATGATACAATTGACAAAATATTTTAGGTTCATCTGAATCAGAATTTAACGCGCTTTCGAATGATGCCAAATACATTAAGGATCTTACATTTTAAAGCTACCAAAAAATCAGTTGAAAATTTTCCACTATTTTAGGGGACAGATGTTACTTGATCAATGCCCTCACATGTGTGGTGCACAATCCAGTTAATTGGACCTTCCACCATGCATTTTGAGCACAGAAAGACTTCGTCTTCAGCCATTTTGATCTGAAAAGAAGATCATTCTATCAGTTTCCTGAATCAACATACTGATGAAATGCATTGTCTTGGAATGGTACAGATTCATAAACACAAATAAGCTGATGACTATTGTAAAAAGCTGGACAAGAAATTAGCAATAGATTCAACATACATGCACAACAATTGACTAGGTACAGCTTTCGACTGGGTTGACAACGCTACTACGGTGATAAATCTGCACCAGCTCACGCCAACTAGTGTTTTGTTCCACACAACATTCACATTGTACCACCAAATATCTCTGAACTCCGCCAAGTCAGAGTACGCACAGCGATCTGGTGGAAATTCCTCTTTGCAGTTTGGTTGGAAAGTAGGTAGTTTACATCTAAATACAGAATTTAATTAAATTCATTTTAAATTATAATATTAATAAATTCAAATAAAATAATTCACTCAATTTCACTATGAATTACCGAGCACACAATTGTTCGGCTACCTCAGAAGAAACAATCTCGTTTTGATTTTTAATTCAATGCATTCAAGTACAATTCTACTAAAATTTCTAAATTAATATGTGCCAATGCAACGCAAAGCACTCTTGCAAATACTTATCTATCAATCTCAATAGGTGAGGTAGGCAGGTAGGTACCTACCTACCTATCCATTGTCACTATTGTCGCAACGCCAATTACGTCCCGGTGACAACGGAAGGACGAACAATTGATTTAATTGCGAGATCAAACAACTTTCGATTATGTTCTGTTACAATAGAAATAATTTAAAGATTACATACCTAAATCAACACGCACCAAACGTTGAAAATCTGAAAACTGACGCGCCAATTGCCTGAGCACAAAATGTCACGTGCCCGCCATAATTGTAGACCAGACCCTCCAGAGAAAATTGGACCTCTCATCTCTCTGGAGGCTACTGGAGGTTTCTGGAGCTTCGGCGAGAGCTTTCTGGAGCTTTATGGAGGCGCTGGAACGCTCTCTGGAGGATTCTGGAGCTTACTGGAGCTTTCTGGAGGTTTCTGGAGGCGCTGGAACAGGCCCATAAATGGAATGAAGGGAAACCATGGGGAAACAGTAAACACAAGGCCATCTATAGAAGGTACAGTCACTCCCCAGCCGACCAATCAGAGACAGATCCTGAGTGACGTCACCCCTGATGCTCGAAAGGGGTACTCCATTCCTTTACAACGTAAAAATGACTAACTTCATTTGAAGATTGTTGGTGACACTCTACACACATCGCTCAACCACTGATGTCATTGGAAAGTTCAACTAATTTTCTAGCGATAAAAAAGAGCAGCAATATGCTAAGAAATGGCCGGTTTTGAAGATATAGACGATTTAAAAACCCTCTGCAGTTGCAGGAAAGCAACGTAAAATCGCATCGAGCTTATATTTTTACTATGAATAAATCATTTTTCAGTAAGTTTTTAGATATGGTATCGATTTATTCAACAACTTTATTACAATATTTTTATTACTTGGAACTTTATTTCAAAATAATATTTTCAAAAATGGCAACTGTTGGCAAGTAGCTTTGAAGCGATTGTGGCGCGCCGCGCCATTATTGTCCTGAGGCCCCCATATGATGTCATCAAAAGTGGAGTGACATGGGCCTGAGTAAACAAAAATCGCAAAACGCGTCCGTGAGCTATCGTAGGTGTAGCGTATCGTATTGTCAGGGACCGCCAAACCTTAACATCACACTTTTCTTAGTTAAACGATGCCATTTTATTGACGGAGGCCTTGTAACGGCATGACTGGCAGGCGTCTGACTGCTGCCAGGAATGTTCAAGGCTCTCGGGCCAGCTCAGGCTCCGGTACCGAGTAAAATGCCTCGATGACTTCCTCCTGTTACCGGCTAGGGCAATAGGTCCTCGAACCGCCCAGATGCTCGATCGCGGCTTATCCCCACCGTGCTGGGGAAGGCGTTTTGTATATTTTTTACATAATGCGCTATAATTGAAAGTACATTATTAGACGGGCCCCGTACGGTAGGTAAGATATAAATCCTTCCCATCTATACACTGAAAAAAATCGGGGAACCCCATTTCTTACAATCTGACACCACATACTCCAAAATACTCCTAAATTAGGCTCCGTTTTCATGATTTTAGGATGTCATGGGTGTTGTGACACCCGACACGGGAGCCCCATTACCTTTTGACGCCGCAAAAATGTACATGACCCCCTTGGGAGAGGTTCGGCTAGCGAACTCCCCAAAAATTGCAGGCCAAAAAATTGGAGTGTCGCTGAGACACCCCCGTTGAAACCCCTCTGGGGTGTCATTATCCTGGAGTGACACCCCGTGTTTTCAGCTTCAAATCCTACCGATAGATGGCGCAAACTAAAGTTGGTAAAATCGGGACCTGTTTTTCACGAATGGCTGGTGCATGTTTGGAGCTAAGGCAAAAGCGTGCATAGCGACTAGCGTAGAGTGGCCAACTATATCATGATGATATCTAGACTGATTACCGTGTCATACGTTGGTCGTGCACACTACAGGGCGCCGCAAGGCCGCGAACGGAAAGAGTAACTCCTCACCCGGTTATAAATATAGTCTGAGATTCTCGTTCCGAAGTAGTCTCCGTAGCCGGGTGCAGTGAGTGCCTTGGGGCTGGGTGGCCTGTCCTCTGGACGGGCTCAGCCCCGGCGACTCACTAGGGTGCCTGCCCAGACCAATGTCTCCCCCTAATTCCTATCATCCTTCCGGCTCTGCAATGGTATTGTCGACCGAAAGGGTCTAACCCAACAAAACAAAACAAACAAGTTCCGAAGGACATTGAATCCTCGCCGGGAGTTTTTCGGAAGTATAGGGGAGTGAAATTTCCCTGAGAGATTCCCTGCTGAAGGCGCGCGGTTCCCCGCGTGGGGGTCAGGAACAATATGGGGAGTTATATCAGAAAAATAGGGGAGTTGAGCTGCTATATTTTACACCCTAATTTGGGAGTTTGACACCCTGTCGGGTGCTTAGGGACCAAAAAGGGGTGCTCGGCTGATATTTGAGGGGTGTCACCTGCAGTCTAACGGAACCCCATGTGGGCCGGCACTGACCCCCCTTTAGCGGCTGCGACTCCCCACTATGCGTCGAAACCCTCCTGGGGTGTACGCCAAACACCCCATTTATAATAGCTCAGCGACTCCCCTCAAAACACCCCACTCGGGTGTTATTTTTGACATGACCGTCAATACCCCGTACAGGGTGTCATTTTTTCTTTCAGTGTATTACCGTCAGGATGAGACGATGAGACAACGACGAAGTGGTGTTAGTGTCTACAGTTAAATCGGCGGAGTGTTGTTACTTGTCGAACGCCGCAACAATTTTGCAGTTTTAATTATCCAAGGTCATGAGATATTTAATCAGTAAAATGTAAGTCAGTTTCGAAACCAAACGTTACGGATAACAGTTGACCCTAGACCTTAAAATTGCGCACCGCTGGCTTTCTCATCTCACCGATACCTCGCCTTCTGCGCCGTAAAAACCCCCTTGCGAGAGGCAAATGTGCAAAAAAAGAAGACTTAAACAACACCTAGTACTCTTGCCTTTTTAGTATCACTGATCATGGGTGGAGCTTTTCCAGGAAAGTTGGTGGGGCAAAACAGTGGTGGCGGATTCGATTTTGGCGTGGGGGGGCAAGATCCCAGTCGAGATGATGTCATAGGCGGATCCAGAAAGGCGTTTTCGACGCTGTAGGGGACATACCCCCCAAAAAAAGTGTCCAAAATCCAAAAACTCCTCGGATTTCGATTCCCTACTGCTGAACAGTAGAAAGCAAAAAAAAGCCTGATAAAAGTGTTATTATTAGGAAAAATAAGGAAGGTACGTTTTGTCTATTTCAGGCGATGCATGGGGGCCAGGGGGAGGGAGAGTAAATATCTGCTTTAAATGCCCGCTCCCTGGATCCGCCAGTGGACGATGAAACGCTTTTCTTATTGCTGTATAAGAAAAAAGCTCCAATGGGAAAAATTGTGTCATAACCCGATCGCATATCAGATGTTGAAGAACGGTGCCAACCCTTTTGAAGTAGGCGAGCGCTATTCTTCAATGAGGTAACTCGTTACCATTTCCTCTGTTCATTTTACGTTCGATTTCCGTTTAACCTTCCTTTAAAAAGTATTTCTGAGACAGATATCAACTGAAACTAGCTCACAGCGGGAGGAGACCGCTC